CTTTCATACAGAAAACTGATACTAAAATGGAACATTCCACTGCTTTTTGGGACAGGCAATTGATGGGAAGAGCAGGAATACTTCTGCATATGTAACAGGTGGTCAAGGTGTGAAAACTTTCCTTTGCACCCTGTGACAGTAACCGTGTGAACATTGTGGTCAAAACACGAACTTCATGTTTTAGCGATTTTTTTCTAATTGAAAGTGAAGTAATAAGGTACCACAAATCAGTGCAAAGAGGAAAGTAAAAAAGAGAAAAACAATGCAAATGGATTAAAAAAGATCATTGTGTGACTGAACGTGAAATATATAAGACGTTATAGTTCAGTTGTGTGGCTGAACCAGGGATGTACAGTACAGCGAATATGCCTAAAAGCCTGTTTGGGAATAATGGACGACAGTTCCAAAGCAAACCTGAAAAGCACCAACTGCTTGCAAACGTGTCTTCGAAGGGAAATGTGAGAATCTTCCCAGAGAAATGAGATCCAACTTGGCTTTATGGAATTGTTCGGTGCAACACAAGTTCAACCAAACTAAATGAATTAATCTTTTCATGTTTACATTCAATTTCTTCTCTACTATATGATCAACTTATTTGACGAGAATCTATGTAAAAGGCAGCTTTCAACATCAAACTCCAAACTCGAGGTCACCACAAATCCAAGAGGCTTGGAGAAAAGTCTGAAACTTGGGGGGGGGCTCAGAGGGGTCCGTCGTTGAGCGGGTTGGAGATGACCGACTTGTGGACCAGCATGAACAGGGGCAGGTGGGCCAGGAAGTCCAGCAGGTCCAGCGGAGGGATGCGCTGCAGCTCCAGCCTGATGGCCGCCTCCTGCTCCAGGTGGATGCCCCCGGCCTTCAGCTCCAGGAGGAGCTGCTCGCCGCTGATGAAGCCCCGCCGGGCTCCCGCCTCGCCTTGCTGCTCCTCCAGCAGGAACAGGAACAGCTGCTGGAGAAGACAGGTCAAAGCACGTCAGAATAAATAAAAAAAACGGCTATTCCTTTAATTTTTTTAGCTGGAAAAGCCACTGTGAAGCGGGCGCGGTTAAGAGGAGCTTTGCTCCAAAGTGCCGTTATGCCCTCCTCTTTTTGTTTCCATCTCACGACTGCCCTGACCAGTGCGTTTGCAGGTTTTGGACTCCAGTCCGAGCTAAAAACAGGGAGAACAGGCTCTGGTGTGAGCGTGCGGGAGCATTTTCCCTGTGTGTTCTTGGGCCTCGGATTACCACGGTCTTGTTTGAGCGCACCTGTTTGCACAGTGGATGCAGCCTAGGTAATAATTGTTGGGGGGGTGGGGTGGAATAATCCTTCTGGCAATTAGCCCACTTCTCCCCCTCCCCACCCTCCACCACCCCCCACCCCAAGCAGCCTCTCCAGTTAACAACCCTATCCCTAACAGCTCTGTAATTACAAAGCCTCCCCTACCTGGACGGAGGCTCGGTTTTCCACACCCACCGTCTTTCATGTTTCCCCACTTCCTCGCACGGCCGAGGGGGCCGGGCCTGTTTTTTCCGTGAGCGGCCAGCTGGTAGGCTGGTCCCGATCCATCTGAGATGAGCCGTGTGTCTCGGGCTGATTACAGGGCTGGGTGGAGTGGACGGCATGTTCACCGCTGGGCACTTTAATGAGATTAAGGCCGTGCTAATCTATGAAAAGGGAAAAGCAACCCCTCTCTTTCTCTCTCTCTGTCCTTTGCTTGCCTCATTTCTATGCATGGGGGCTGAGTGCTTCTCTTGAAAAAAAAAAAGAAGAAGAAGAAAAAAAAAAAGGCCGGATGCATAAAGCATGCTTTGGAATTGCTCCTGAAAGAGTCCGCCCCGTATTTATTTCGCCGTAATTATACCTGGGAAGCCATGAGGGAGAGGTGGGCATAGTGTTTGGGGCACGAATGTGACAAAACGCGAGGGGGGGGGGGGGGGGTTAATCTGATGTTGCATTGAGGTAATCAAGTGCGCCTTGTGTAAACACATTCAAGGGGGACGAACATGTGGTACCTTTGCTTTGAAGAGCCTGACTTCGAGGGAGCGGAAGTCCATGTCGGCGATCAGCGAGCGCATAAACTCGCTGCAAAAAGACAAAGAAAGAGAAAAACAAAAGGACAAAAGTTGAAAGGAGCCGACGAACTGAACGGGAAAAGCTTTTTGAATAATCATTAAAGAACCCGCCGCAGAGGCTGAGTTCACCTGACTTTAAATCAGTGGTTTGAGGCTCCTGAAAAAAGTTGTTGCACGGTACTTTACTTTCTCAAAGGCCTATGATACCGCGAGGAAACTTTTTTTTAGCCTTTGGAAAACTCCCGCCCATGCTAAAGAGGGCACGTGGAGCGGTAAAGTGCCGTGACAGACGTGGCGGTCCGGCGCTCTGGGGGTTGTTGGTGAAAATGTGGCGCGGCGCGGCGTGGTGGCGGGTCTTTTTTTTTTTGGGCGGGCGGGCGGGCGCTGTTGTGCGTCCAGATAAGTGATGGTAAAGTGTTCTGAGCCCTTTGTGGTTGCTCACAGCGGCCTGGCTGACAAACAATGCGTGGGCGCACGGGGACACCCCGCCGCAGTAACGGATGAAACTGCTCTGGTTTGGGGATTGTAAAAAAAAAAAGGGGGGTATGGTGGGGGGTATTGGGGCGTCTGTAGCACAGCAAACTGGGGTGAGCGGGATTGGGGGTGGCGGCCCCGGGGAGGGGGACCGAGTGGTGCCCTCTGCTCGCTGGCGGACGGTCAGAATCTGGGTCCTCCTCGGATAACGGGGGGCCCAGGGCTCGCCGGATAGTGTCGGGGACGGGGGCCGCTCTCTATTCCAGCGTGTGGCGCGGCGACGGCCGTCCGCCCTCCCTAACGAGCGCCTGGTGTTAATGAGCCCCCCCTCCTCTCCTCGCCGGGGCGCTCAATGGCCCGTTGTAGCGAAGAATGGGCAAAGCACCAGGCCATTGAGTGCAGGGCACGCCTGAGTGAGCCCCCCGGGCCCCCGAGGACGGCCATTGGACCCCCCCGTCCCTCCCAACCGCGCGGGGCATGCGGTTTGACGGGGATGAGGCGAGACGGGCCAGCTAATGATCATTAATTGCACTTGGTTTGCAGCAAAAAAAGGGGGCGCAAAAGCGCTGGTGTGCAGGCCCACTGGCGTGATAATGGCCGGCGCTGGACGGCAGGGAGGATAATAGCAGCCTAGCCTATTTTCTCTTGTCCGTCTTCTACCTGCACCCCGCTGTGGCCTAAACAGCGGGCCTGTCCGTTACGTAATGGTCAGAGTTTTGGCGCTCTCTCCTCGCCGTGGGGCCGGAACAGAGAGACGCAGGGGTACGTATCCTGACCCAGTTTGAGTTGACAGACCTGAGGGGTTGTTTAGGGTTATTTTAAGCGGGCCTTAGGGGAGGGGGCGGTGGAGAGAGAGGGGGGTACGCTGTAGAGACAGTTTATGTTGCAGGGGGCTTGTCTTGGCTTGGTCCCGTCGTTAGACCGATTCTTTAGCCGGAAGCCTGAGATTAAACCAGAGCTGATCAAGAGTGTAAATATATTTTTTCACAAGTAAAGTGAATCAGCTCTGGGTTCTCACTGACAAAGCTCAGTCAGCAAGAGCCCCGAAATCCGGGTGTAATGGACATTGATCAAGTAGGAAGACTGGACGCAAAGAGTGTTTTTGGCCAGTTACCTCTGACATGAACAGGCCAGCTCCTGATTCATGCAGATTTCATTGGAATGTGATAAGAAAGTGTGTGTGTGGATGTTGACCTGGAACAGAGAGAGTTTAAAACAAGAGCATGGTTCTAAAAGGAATAAGACAATCAGTATTTTACATGCATCATGTTATAGCATACGATGCTAAAGTGAGTAACTATAGCCAAATTCTAACATTAGTGTGACGTTCTGTATCTAATGGACCTTTGCCGACTCATTTGCCTAAAACTCTCTTAATGGACGGGACTGATAATAACGAGGGCCCCACCGGTGCTGTTTGGGAATCCTGAAGAGCTACAGCACGGGGGAATGCGATGCTGCGTGAGGAGCACAATGCCGCGCAGGGACAGATGGGCAGAGTCAAGGGCCAGAACAGAGCAGGGGAAATGGGCGGCAAAAAAAAAAGAGGGCGGCGGGGACGGGGTCGGACAGTTGAGAGCTGAGGAGAAGACAAAAAAAACAAAACAAAAAAAAGCACGCGGGGGAGGGGCTCAAATTAGCGAGCGATGACACCGCAAGAAACACAAGGAAACGAGGGATGCGCCCCCCTCAGATCTCCAAGCCTCACATGATCAGAAAGGCTGATTGTGTAACTACTGTTGCAGCTCATTTCTAAGCTCGGATTAGAGACAACAGGATTAACCGAAACAGGTAAGAGGATCAGTTTAGCTCAGTAGGGATGAGATGACAGAGGGATGCCATTGTTTTCTCCTTGTTTGGGAGGTGGCTGATCTTCCCCCCTTCTCGTCATTCAAAGGCAAAAAAAAGACGTTTTATGGAAAGAAGTTTTAATATGGACATTCATTATCATTACTATAATTGCCTCTGCACAGAGCAGACACCCCCTGGTCGTTGTGTGCCAGTCTGCAGGCCTCCTCCAGTACGCGACACAAAGAGCTGGCCGTAAATCAGGGGACCCATGACCCTGGCCCTGTCCTCACTGAGAGGAGGCTCTCACTCCGGGGTGAGGGCTCCGGGTGCAGGCCTTGACCCCTCGGGGACCTCCAGAGTGGCCTTGGCTCCACTCACTGCTGTCAGGAGGAAGCTACAGACCCCAGGGCAGGGGGAAAAAACACAAACGCTGTGTGTGGGAATCTGCAGCATATGGGGCGTAATGTCGAGGCACAGGGATGCTGTGGGCAAAGTCAGCCCGGGCAGGGTTCAAGCGCCGGTTAGTTTCAATGTTGATTCATCAGCAAAATATTTCCCTTAAAAGCTTTCGTTTGTTCAACGGATTCTGGGAAAGAAAGGGAAAAGAATTCCATCGTATCTCTGGGTAAAAAAATGAAACACAATAAGCAAATCTCAAGAGAAGTTACAAATTATTTGTATGTTTATATATATCCGGTTGAAATAAACCCTCCAACTGACTGTTAGGAAGCTAAATAAAACATGAATTCCAAAGAAATTATTTGTTTATGTCATTGACTGGATGAGGGTGTGAGCATTACCCTGTTCCGTTTCATTCACAAGTTCCAAAAAATAAACGGATTATAATCTTTACGCCTTTCTTCATGAATCATTCTGATATTTGCATTAATCTTGACATGAAGGAAAATCTGGTGGAATATTTGCTTTTTTTTTAAAGCAACAAATCAAGATGTAGTGCTGTGTCTGACCAACAGTCCAAAATCAGGCAATTATTCAATTTAAGTTTCCTTTTAGGAAAACTAAACTAAAGGCTATTTAGTACTGCTGCTTATAACATAATGAATGATGTAATTAGGTGGTGAAATGTTAATTTTTAATTAACTGGTTAATTGTAGTGATAGTGGTATAGTGAGCTGAAATAAGAGACAAAAGCTCTAATCTGCTGTTTGTAATCGATACATAAGTGGTAAAAACCTTATTCAATATTTTTCCAGACAGCACATGCCGCTCTTTAGAAGTTTAGAGGGTTTGGAGGGTTCAAAGTGAAGTTTTTAACTAAAATTTAAAAAGAAAATGGTAGAGATCTGGCTTTTTGTCTAACTTCCTGTACCCAAGTACTTTTAAACTGTTTTTTTAAATGGTAAAATAAGGTAGCCGAAACTCAACTTTTCTTTTTGACCTTGGTGTTGTCTTAAAAAAATGTGAGTCCCAACAATCTCTGAATTGAGGAGGATGAAAGGGAATCCCACACATGATGACAAAATTTGGTGGCACTGACTCTGTGTACACACTCTTTTTTCTCCTTTATGGCAGGTCAGTGACTCCTCATCCGGCCTCTTTGAAGGGAGCGTCTCTGGTGTCGGTCACTTACTCCATGGAGGCTATTTTCTGCGCCAGGCTTGCGATAACAGCAAATAGCCTCAGGTCCACCAGCCCATCTGTCACTCTGAAGTCCACCATCTCCAAGATCTGAAAGAAAAAAAAACAGGGACGGCGGCGTGTGAGCGGCTGGGGAGCGGGCGTGTGCGTGTGCGTGGGAAAACTTCGACTGGGGCCGTACCCTGTAGACGTAGATCTCCTCCTCGTCCGAGAGCAGCTCGGGTGGAGTAATGGTCTTGAGGGCGAGTAGAACCTGCAGGCAGGAGATGTAGCCGTCGCCATTGCTGTCCTCCTGCACACAGACGCCATTATCAATCCCATTCCTCACCTCTGGTTGTGCCTTTAATTTGTTTTGTCCAACATATCCTACATATCTCCTGGTAAATTCTTATACAGGAGCGTGTCAAGACTCTCATTAAACATCTAATGCTTTTTTTTTTTTTTTTCTGAGACTGCAAAATCCTTAAGCTAAGCTCCAAAGATCAACGACTGTTTTCTGGTGATACGAGGGGCCAAATGTTTAACAGCTGGACGAGAAATCACCTTTTTAAGACGGGGAGTGTAGCATGCAACAGCGAGTGAAACTGAATCTCCTGAAAGAGAAAGGCAACACAAAGGGTTTAAATCCCTTTTCACTTACTGCTTCAAAAGCTCTTTTGTACTCCGCCAGCTTCTCCTGACTGAAAATGCAGTACTTTGCCAAAAAGTCGACTGGAAAGAGAGGAAAACAAAAGAAAAGAAAAGTTCAGAGCTTTGCGGAGCCATCTTTACAGTGCGGTGATTTCAGCCTAATGGGTGTTAAATTTGCAAACTTTCGGCGTCTTTTATCGCCTCTAAACCAGTTTCGGCGGCATGGACAGCGTCGTGTCTCTCAGCATTTTTTTGCATGTGTGTTTCTGCCGGGGATTAGAGCAAAATTTCTCCCCTATGGTCACGGTGGGGTCAGTGGGGGTGGAGGGCAATGCGGGGCTAGAGGTTCACAGGGTGTCCACTTGGCTAGAAAATGCAGGGAGAGAGGGGGATGGGGGGGTGGTGGGGGGGTGGCTGGACTAAAAAGAGAAGGTCAAGATGAAAATAAATCCCAAAAATTACTTCTTGTTTTAGGTTTGTTTGATAGGACAATAACATATTTACTTACTAACAGGACTCGAAAGGCCTGTTTCCAAAGATAAGAATCATGACAGGTTAAAGGATTATAAAATTGATTAGAAAATACCTACAGATTATTGATTTTTGGGTGTTTCTGGGGTCCGGTCCCATCTGAAGTGAAAAAGATCAGTAAATCTGATTTAAAATGTTACTAAATAAATGGTAGCTCTCTCACTGAGCCTTGGATCATTTGCACTAGTTTTGACATGCGTGCATGTGTTTGGAATCTTGTTTTTTTCTTACAAACACTGTGTGATGGTCCATCCCAGACTCTTCCGAACTCAGAACAGTTTACATTGGCTCCAGACATGTTTAACGTAAAGTTTCCTTTACAAAGTAGGGGTTGAAGTGGTGTTTTTCAGTGTAACTGTACAGTAGTATTTGACAAAGATACACATTAACATTTAATGTGTCACTCACTGATCTATTTTTATGATTTTGTGGTGGTATATTACATTCCAAACTAAAGGCTAAAGCTCCAGAATTGTTGTTATTACACATATTTTTTTTTTAATTTAAGTTTTTAACGGGCGGTTACATGGGTGGTCAATCAAGTTGCCCACAAAAAACCCACATTTAATAGGTTGTCATAAAAAAATAGTCAGAATTCATTTTCATCGTTGAGCTTAAGGTGGGATTTTCATATTTTTCACCTTAACAAAAATAACTTATGTCTTTGACTTTGTGAAAGAGATTCAAGAGATTACACGAGGAGCCAGATCTGAGACAAACCATGAATATTTTAGTACGCAAATTTGGGTGGGAGGGTGACTCAGGGGTAGAACACGGGGTGGAAAACGGTAGCGTTTAAGCTGCTGCCACTTCAATTTAGGAAAAGGAGAATGAGTCTGCTGAATAATGGATCTATTCATTGGTTTGGAGAAGAAAGGGGAGCAACAGAGTTTATATCAGTTCGGTCTTAAACCTCTGGACCTCTGGGGGTTCTCCGCAGTGGCAGGGGGGCCTGTTTGATTCTGCCATTTATCAGCTTAGGCCTAATCAAAACCAAGCCTCGTCCTTTCACATGCAAAATGCTACATTCGCCACTAGTCAACTTGACTTGTTAAAGCTTGATTGATCAAAAAAAAAACCTGCAGGCTGCCTTCCTCGCATCTGTTTGCAAATATCCTGGATGAGAAGCGGCCGGCCGCACGCACGCACCCAGCCGCCGCCGATCAGCCTGCCTGGGACCAGAATTTAAAGTCCTCCTTCCTCCCCGGTGGCTGGATCAGCGCTCCGCTCAATCTGCTCAAAAGTGAATTGTCACCTTGTGTGAGGCCGTCAATGGACGCTCCTCTTTTTCAGGCCCCGCTGAGGTTCACTGGCCATCTGCGGGCGAGTTAGCGGCTGACCTGTGCTGACCTCGACAACACGAGTGTGAACCTTTCTTTTTGTGAAGACCCATTTCATATACTTGCTTCTAATCCAGAATCGCACGGATTTGCGCTGTGAGGTCTAAATAACCGGCACATTATGACTCCATCATTCCTCAAATCAGCAAGGCTCAGGAAGGATTATACATATACATATATATATGTATATGTGTGTGTGTGTGTGTGTGTGTGTGTGTCTGTGTGTACTATATATATGGTAAAATGACTTAATTAAAATGAAACATTAGCAAATACCATAACTCGATGCTTCATTCATAACGAAAAATGAAAAATATCTTAAAGTTTGAAAGTTAGACAGTCAAGTATTTTAAAATTTTTTTATAGTTGCTTATCTTGAATTGGATGGCAACAACATCAAATTTTTAAAAAGTTGAAGTGCTGCCGAAACAAACAGTCTTGGAAAATAAAAATATAGGATAAAAGAGACCCAGCTGGAGGAAGATGTCACAGAATTCCTCGGCGAGGCCTGAGTTTCTCAGATGTTTCTCCATAAACTTGTTTTTTTCCTGTAGAGCTGAGGCTGATCCGGGAGTGTTGAGGCGGGCCCGCCCCTCAGCCTCCGCCCCGGCCACGGCCTGCTCTGTTCTACCGCCGCCTCCCCGAGCTGCACCAGCCGGAGCGCGGCGCTCCTGGTTGGAGGTCGGGGGTCCCGGGCAGAGGGAAGCGCTCCATCAGGGAATGGGCCTGACAAAAGGTGCAGTGGAGTGAGAGATTGAGGGAGGAAGAGAGGGTGGGTGAAGGAGCGGGACAAAGCCGAGGCAGCAAAGCCTCCTGCCTGATAGCCTTATCTGATTCCACTCCAGCGCTTGATGGCTTTTTTTTTTTTTTTTCCCCACTCTTTAAAGCATACAGGTTTGGCTTTTGGTGTGAAGCCTAGCAGAAAATGTTAATCAAGACAGGGACTGCCAAAGAAAAGGGGAGAGAAAGGGGAGAGTCGCTCTGCCCAGGCCGTAATCTGTAATGAGACCGAGGCGATTCAGTTGCAATTGAGAGAGGAAGAAAGGGACAGTGATGATGATGAGCAGGGAGTGTTCACTCTTTCTCTGACGTTTGTTTTTCCTGTTTTGTTCCTTTTCTCTTTGCGGAGTCACTGCTCCAGCGTGGGTCTGCCGGCCGCAGAAAGTGGCGGGTCACAACTCATTTAACACACACTTGGACATCGTTTTCACTGTCTGCAGCTGACAGATGAAAAGCTCTGCTGACCGCCTGTCTGACCACTGTTGCTACTCGCCTGTGCATGATTGATATTTCCCTTCCTGGTGGGTAGGACTAGACATTAAACTTGATTTTTTTCCCCCCTTTCTTTTTTGCTACCAAATGGAATAGAAAGACTTTACAGCGTGCCAATCAAGACAAGAATAAATCTGTGGAGTTGTTTAGTGAGTCGTTTATTGGAACTGATTATTTTATACTCAATAAACCGTATATTACACAACTAAAGATGCCTTTACACGAGCAATATTCTTAGATTTAGACAATGTTAAGTTTCTGACACGAATAAGTTTCTGTTTTGTAGAATCTTTTGAGATGAATAAAAATAGTTAAATTCTTGATGACTTCCATGAAGCTGTAGTTTACATCTACATCTGTCCTGACTTTTCATAAATAGGACTGTGCAAAAGTCATAATATATTCTTACTTTCTTTGTATTTGGTCATTTTAACGATGATTCAGACGTGTAAAGCGTCTGGAACAATTGGATTAAAGGCTTTTTGAGGGTCTCTCAAAGTGTCTGTTTGGGTAATGGCCTATAATTTATTACATTTTAGTCCTTTTACATGACCGTTTTCAACTGAACGTGCTTTTTAAATGAATAAAAGAGTTGTTCAAGAGACTGTGATGGAAGATGAATTTGCACGTAACGAATATTTCATTTTAAACTCGTTCGAACAGTTCTAACGAGTTTAAACACTGCAAACACTGTTTTTTGCCTCATATACTTAAATAGTGTTTAAATTTGAACACACGTCAATAAATGTCCCCAGTTACACTACAATATCTGATAAAACTATGTGGAGGCTGAAAGCAAATCCTCAGCAATGTAAACAGATGTACTGGGTCATAACTGGCCAGTTGTACCAAAACACTCCCTCTGTAGATTCCCTCGTTATTTACCCCTTGGTTTCAGTTATTCCTTATCAGAACATTGTCTTGTTCACAATTGGAATAAAACAGTTTGTTTTTTGTGCACCTATACAAAGAAACACACCTCTGTAAAACAATGCGACATATAGACACACACATACACACACACACAGGAGCCTATTGTGTCTTTAATATGTTCACTTGTTTGTGGCACCCTTTCCCGCTCGATCCCAGACTTTTGTTTCTGCTCATCAACACACACCGTAAATAGTGTCCCCTAATTCCTTTAACAAAGATCACATTCAGCGGCAAAGAGTAGGTGACCTGTTTTTTTTAATAGCAGGAGAATGTTAGAGGGTGTGCCCCACATATAGGGCATAAAACATGTGATTAACACAGCAAATTTGGAGCAAACAGACACACATACACACACGCACACACAGATTTTAAAACCATTTTTAACCGCGCAGTAGATGGGAAATGGGTTTCTGGGATATTTTGGGTTTAAGTAAGTGAATATGAGACAATTCTATAAATCCACTGCCTGGCTGTGATGAGATAAATCTATGAAACATAACGAGCGACGTTAGGAGATGAGAGGTGAGAGATCTGAGTAACGACGCGGACCTTAACACCAGACTAAGCGTGCCTATTGTCAGTACTTTGGAATGAGGCATTGTGGAAGTGGCCCTATGTTAAAGGTAAAGGCATCTTCTCTGGTTAAAGTGTAACAGGAAAGGCAGCGGACTGTGGCTGGCTGTCTGGCTGGCAGGAGGATTGGTTTCACAGATTTGTCCAGCCATCACATCCACGAGGAGTAGGATTAATCCAGTTTCAACAACTGTAAGGTTCGCCTGTGCTTTTATAGCATGAAAATGAATGAAATGCGCCGTAAGAGCCTGTTTCAAGCAGGAGATATTCATTTTCCCATCAAACTCAGATGTGTTAGGATATACCACAACTGTACTATGTTGCATAGAGATAAGTCAGCCGTAAAGATCAAAGGCTTAAGATTAAAGGATAAGTAAAGTTCTCGTTATCAGTTGGAAGGAACACGTCAGATTATTCGGACTTTCTCAGAAA